GTGTATGATCTATTAACCTATGTACTTGTGTTGAAAGCTACATATTAATTATGTGTATTATACAAAATATAGATAATGGAATATGTGTGACTCATAAAATACTAATATAAAATACCATAATAATCAAAAATGTTAAATTACTTGCTGGAATACTATCGTAATTATAAGTAGCAATCTTTCCCAATTATGTATAATTTTTGATACTATGCTTTGCTGTATTCTAACACACAACTTCATAAAATAAAATAAATTCTTAATTTTTTTTATCTGCGCGCATTTTCCAACCGCACATCCCCTCCCGTCCTAACTTTTAAACTCTTATAACTTTAAAAATAGTTGTCCAAAACTGGTTATCGACCAGTCAAAATGTTTAGTACTAAATTAAAAAAGTCAATAAAGTATATACGTTACCGTTTAAGTTTCAAAAGTTGCTATCAAAAAAACTAAGTTGGGAGGGGGTAAAAACCAAGAAAAATTGAAATCACATTGCATAAAATTAAAACTTTACTGCCTAACCTACTTATCGCGAAATCCTAAATGTATTTTTGAACATTAATGTTTTATCGTTTAAAATATTGAACTAATTTTATGTTTTTCGCTATAAACATTATCATAATGACTTTTGTCATATATTTTATGAAAACAGGTCTCGAATTCATATTTCATGTTAACATTAAAGGTACCTTGCATTAATTCGATTCGTAAAAAATGCCAACTTTCTTTAGGCCTTGGGGATGAACATTAAAATATGATTTTTGTTACACATACACACACACATATATACTATAGATTTTACCACTTATAAGTTATATATAGTTTTAATAACTATGCACTAATAGAAATCAACTATGTTATAGTTATTAGTTGAATAATATTAATTAATACTTTTAAATATTCGTTTATAAATATAATTGACGATTATTAAGCGTATTATAAGTATGTAATGATTGTTTAAAAGTTTCATTCTCGTTATTAAGTACTATTAGTTTTATGTATAATAGAAAATATAGGTAAAACATACAAGTCGAAGTCATACTCATTACTTGGTCAAAAACAAAATTATTTTTCTTCTAGTCTTTTTCGAATTTTGTACTAAAATAACATTTTAAAAAACGTTTCTCCTTTTAGAGTAAACGCATATTTATTTCAACCGAATACAAACGTAACAAACAATAAAATAAAATCAAGGTTATTGGATATGATTCATGCGTATGTATCCGTGTATATTATCTGTGTTTGTACGACAATGGAAGCTGGATAAATAGACATTTCAGCATTCATTCAAAATTGTTTGGTATTTATTAATACTAATACACAAATTGACTGGTATGTGTTATTTTTATATATATATATTTTTTTTTTTTTGCAAATGGTCTTATTTACTAAAAATGTATTGACATGTGTGGAGTAAACCGATTTAGCGTACCTAAATCTAAATTTGTTAAAATCTGAAATGAAAAATGGTAAGCACCTGTAAAGCCGGTTTGGACGCGTTCAGATCCAGTAGTTAACTATTTCCTAAATTATCCTAAAGGCTAAAATATATGGTTAAGCTACACGCATGCGAATGTAATGCCTTACGATGTTTTATTATAATAATATAATACATCTTAATTTATGCGTCTAAACATACATGATACAACAGCATGATCACTGATCAGGCATCTCGAGAGTTTGATCGCATAACTCTTGCGTTGAAAGACTGAAAAAATTATAATAAAAAAATATACATGCCGCATGCAATGTACAAATTGCTAATTGCAAACTTAGTATAAGATATATTTGTACATAAAATATGAACAGATAAAGACGGCTTTATTTTCTAGTTGAGTTGTTGTTTTCGACCAAAAAATCAAGTTTAAAGTATTTTAATCATTATAGGGACTATATTTTATAACAAAATAAACGTTTACGGGATCTATAGCATCGATTGTTTATATTTTCATTGAGATTTAATACGTAAGTATTGTGGGGTATGACCAAATAGTAATCTCAGTGATCGCTTTACAAGTTTATTCAAATATTTTGAATCGTTTTTTATCAATGCGTTGACCAACAATTGTCAAATTTTGTTTGTTTTGTTTAGCAATTTATTTTCATGGTAGTTGTGCAGTCATAACATTTATGTATACAAGTTAAAAGACACGATGACGCTTAACATTATAGACATGAGTCCTAACCTAACCTAACCTATATGACCCGATCAGAATTATTACTTAATACATTTATTTGATCTAAATAGGAGAGGTGAAAACTATTGAACTATTAACCATAAAATGTATTTTTATAACCATTATGGGTGTTTGTTTAAATATTGCTATTCTCGTGATTATATTAATTATTAATCATTTTTCATGATATAAAAAACAAATCAATATAAATCGATTACCTCTTCAAAACTACAACAGAGCTAAACAATAATAACAATGTACCAGATTGTCAATTGGAAATAACATAATTCGACATTGACACATATGACATTTGAATAAAGTATTTGAATAGGATTGCCATTTTGACATTAGCTCTTTAATTTTGCTCGCGTTTGTAGCTGTGGCTGCGTTCTAATAACCGATAAAATGTCATTGATTCTCACTGTGTATATAGTTTGATCATTGTCGTGCCTAAGTGTGGTGTGTCACGCGCTGTAGCATGAATATACATTGGACCCATTAACCTGTGATTCTTCTTATTTTTATTTACAAACGAAGTCACAAGCAAATGTCTGTAATTTTTTTTATCACGACCCCTGGTGTAACGGGTATATTTTACAATTGGTATCTCTGGTAAATATTATTTGCAATAGAATATATTCAGATTTGTGTTACCTAATAATTTTTTATTTTGTAGAATGACGTCATGACTCATGTTTAATTATTAGAGACATATTTATTGTTCGAAAATGAATTGATTAATACAATAAGGGCCTTCGGCTCATTTTAACGAAAACGAGTTAAATTAATTTTGTTTTCTTGTTGGCACCTTCTCAAAGCATTGGTGCATGTTAAAATAGCTTCAGTCACGTTACTAAAACTGAATTAAAAAACGTTCCTTAACCATACAAAAAACTAACAAAAAATAAGTCCCTTATGCATTAATCGATTCAATAACTAGTTATTTTTGGTATGAGACATCAGTCAACAGCAGGATCAAAAGATTACAGAGTTCCAAACTCATTGCATTTTGCTGGTCTAGAGCTAAGTTCTAAATGAATAAAATATCTTTGTCGAGGTTAAATTAAAACCTTCATTTAAATACAAAAAATATAAAAGTAGAACAGCTTCTGTAGTTTTATGAGAGTAGATACAATATGTATAACTTGGTGTATTCATTTTAATGTGATAAAACCAAAGGTACCAAACATACTTGAACGCCAATCTATGATTAGTATAAAATAAAAAATAATTCTGGCTGACATTTTTGTTATTAAGAAATAAAAAAGTCAATTCAAAGTAAATACAGTCTTTAGAGTTTAGACTGTAAAAAAAAGTATTATTACTAACAAAAAATTAGAATAAATCGTTATTCATTCCTACTAAATAATAAATAACTAATATAGAGTATAGATAATTATTAAAAGTATTGAAAAATCTAATCAGTGCACATAATATTATATTTATAACTATTATATTATCAAATTTTAGAAATTCATTTCAAATAGTAAGTCTTAAAATATATTACATCTAAAAATTATAACTGGGAGTTTAACGTGTAGTGTTAATGTTCTATAGTATAAGCAAATAAAATTTACATTTTGAAACTGGGTCAATACCTCTATTTTCGTTAAAAATCTACGGTTCTAAAGAGCAATAGACAAAAGTAACGTTATAATAAAAAATACAAAATTATAAAAGTATAGCCTATACTAATAAAGACCGCTAGTTTTGTTTTTTTAATTTAATCTTTTATTAAATTATCAATTTTTGATTATATTTCAATAAATTGTTTTTAATTGTTACTACAGAAAAAATACGAGCTGTCAAGCCAGCTTAAAGTTAGTTTTATTCCAATAATTGTGGCCTATTCAGGAAATTATAGTGTTTAATATTATATATTATTTTTTCTGAAGTAAAGTTGTCTATATTTTTTATGTACAGCTTTACTTTAGAAAAAAAAAGAAAGGCGAACTGCCTGTAACAGGTTTTCAATGGACACACACTATTATTTAACGTACCTACAGCAGTATAGTATATTATAGGAATTAGGAATTAAAGATAAAATAATAATAAATAAAATGCTTACAGCAAAATAATAATCAATAAAATAGTACTGATGGAAATAATTGACAAAGAAAATAAAATATTTGGTGAAAACATGAATAAGTGAAATTGATGCATATTCTTTTTGATAATATTTATCACAGTACAGTTGTACAGTACATGTACAGTTTATATTGTATCCGTAAAAAATATATGACTAAAACAAATATGGCTTGTACATTTAGATCATGTTAGTTTATGTTTAACTATTTAGCTCGTATTACCTTGAAAGTATAATTTTTAAAATATTTTGTCAGGAATTTTTTGGTAAAAAAGTGATTCAACACCTTACACCAATTTAAATAATTGTGTATCTTAGTGCTGTAATTTTATTTTACAAAAAGTAAAACAAACACACAAGTATGTTTTAAATCAAAATTGTTTTCATTTGCTAGTAACTGTATATTAAAATGAAGGTCTATACAAACTGATAAGAGTCTTAATATTTTCCAAACAATAAAATATCAATTACTGTAATCTGATTTTTTTACTAGACATAATCGTTTTTTCTTGTCGATTTGTTTTTGAGACTACGGGTATAAAATGCTAAAAAAAAAAATATAGGTATATTTTATACTACAATAGGATAATTTTCGAATCGAATTTACGATTTTCGGGTGCCAAGGTAACGGCAGCTATTATTTTACAAACGAGATCGATTCGAACGAAATAGTCGGGTGATTTGTCAGAAATTCGTTATAATCACAATGGACTTTGTTTCTACAATTATTTAAACACATTTTTTGCAATACTCTGTTCGACGAAGCCTGGTTATGTACATATTTTAAGGTTACGCCGCGATGATGATTCATTTAGAACGTCGTGTGTTATACCTACCGTGTATGCGCTCTATAATGTGTAAAACAAAAACAATCAAAATCGTATGTGCAGCACCGTTTATTGTCGATAACAGTATATTATTAATACAAATACCTACGTGTGTAGACATTGTGTATGACGTGTGCCTTCTGTAAAATGTGCATTTAGTCGAGTCTCAGAGATCCGGACTCCGGTCAGGCCGAGAAGTATGTGTGCGATATAAATAAAGGAACCGAGGCCTTTATCAGTTCAGTAGAGCGACATTAGCGGAATTTACCAGCCACACGTTGTTTGAGTGAGGAAACGACACGTCGTTGCGTCTGGTTTACTGCTACCGATAAATTACAATACTTATATTAGTACTTCTCATTTCAAATAAAATTAAAAAAATCACTTGCGTGTTTAGTACAAATCAATAATATTGTCAATCAGGTTTACAGTAAAAACACACGTACCTCTCTATGCGTTCTAGTAAATTATATTCGCAATCTTTGTGTGAATGGACCGACCGTAGCGAACAATGATATCACTGCCTTTGCGGTTTTTAGGTTTCCCAACAATAGTCGTCAACCAAGTCGTTTTGTTGAGTATTTTTATCGTGTCGACGACTACTGCTTTGACACTCTTCACCGACGAAACCATGGGTTCCATCTACGGGGACGTCAGTTTGACTACAGTGAGTATAAACGTCGAATAACGTACCTAGTAATAATAATAATAATAATAATATGTATAACCGGCAGCTTGTGCGCGTATATTAGTCTGTGTTCACTCTGATACAGATTCAATGTGTAATATTACCAACAATTCATTTATGAACAATTTAAAAAAAAAAATGTATTTTCTAATTAGAAAAAAAAAATTGCCCTTTAACTCAACACAAGTAAATACTAAGATTACCGCCTTCTGGATCCACGCCTGTAGGAATGATGCACCTCGTAGAAAGATTATCATAAATAACGAAATTTTTTCAATCTGCGAGACCTCCAATTTTTCTTTAATAATTTCCAAGAAAGGTACAAATAAAAAGCAAAAATCTCTACCTAAAGCCGTGTCTACACTAGCGCGAACACATTTTGCCACATCCTTTAATACACTGTTTCACTTCACGCTAATATGGACACGGCGCTAAGTATGCAAACCTTATTTAAGCGATTTCTGGGTACAGAAATTTAGCGTAAACATTTATTTTTATATATTATATTGATAAGAGGTGCTATACTCAAGAACAGCGACCGGTTTTAGGTGGGATTCCCGCCTTCAACAGAGGTACCTTAGTCATAGTTTACTATCCACCTGTCCATTGACTAAGACGAGGGTACCTCTGTTGACTGCGGGAATCCCGTGTAAAATTAGCCACCGTTCTCGTGTGCAGCACTGCTAATCTATATACCTATTTTAAAATCAACGGTGTAAGCAAATTTTCGCAAAATTTAATTTATCTTATATGTTATAATTCTTAACACACTATCATGTCGTTTAATTACAAAGTTTTTCACTATTAGTCGATTCAAATTTATAACTGACCAATAACAACAAACGAAATTATAACTTATAAACCATCCTATTTAGTATGTACAAGTTTTAGGGATGGGAATAAGATCCGATTATTTGAATTTTATGAAATTATTTATCAAATATTCATAATTTTTAGAATTTAATTTGCTTATGTTTAAAATTATTTTCATAGTAAATCGTATCATGCACATCTCTAGCTTTTTTTATTATCATCATAATGCGAGCTTAACAGGCTATGAACGTTGCCATCAACCTTTTATAATATAGTAATAAAATACATTTTTTAGCAAAACAAATGATCAAAAACGATCACTCAATGAGGTGATATTGTTTTTCTCGTATTGCATGTTTTTAAAAGCTGAAAAGGGAGACGGCGAGTTGGCTACATAAGTATAATTATAAGCACATATGAACTTGATATTAATTTTTACGATTCAGCATACTTAAACATTTTTTTTTACTCTATATAAAACTTGTTAGGTGCCCAATCAGTTCGCATACAATTTGGATATTTTTCTCGTCTCAGTTAAATAGCAAAGAAAACAGTACTTCCTTGTAATTTTAATTAATGAGAAACTTTAAATTAATGGCAACGCGAATTTAAATTTAATCGGAGTGGATTTTCTTGGGGGAATTTATGCTGGAATAGAATGGACTTCTAGGAGAAAATTCATTTGAAAAATCAGAAAAAAAACCGAAACAATTCAGATCATTTAGGATGGGAGCCGGGAGGTAGATTGCGGTTGAATAATGCGCGCAGATAAAAATAATAGTACACTATACTACAAATTACTTTAAAAGTAGTTATCCAAACTGGATTATCCATCAATCAAAATTTTCAGCAAATGATTTTTAATTCAAAAAGTTAATTAATATACGTTACCATTCATGTTTTAAAAGTTAAGTATTTAGTATTTTATAATATTGTATAATAACATAAATAAAAAATATTTTCAAAAAAACATTATAAAACTGTTATTACTTTCTGAGAAAATGTTTAATATATATATAATATTATATATACCTACATATATTGAATGATGATTTGATGTAAAAGCCTTAAATGCTAAGCCTGGTCCACACTAAGGTATAACATAGACCAACATTAATGTGTTGCAGTATGTTGCTTTCCATTTGTTTCCATGTATCGATATAAAGCGAAACACGTGGCAACTAATGAATGTTGCCTTAGCTTTACCGCTTATGATTTCAATTTTTAAAGGTAAAATGTTGCTCTATTAATTTGCTCAGGTGGAAATGCTTCGAAGAAGTGGATACACTGTTGAGTGTCATTCGATCACTACCGAAGATGGATATGTGCTTGAACTGCATCGCATACCTAAAAGCAAGTCTGGAAAATTACCGTTCAGAAATTATCCAATTTTTGTTCAACATGGTATATTAGGTAGTTCAGCCGATTGGGTATTGGGAGGAGCTGATGTATCTATAGGTAAGTAAGTGTACTTAAAAAAAACATGTGTTCTAAATTTTAAATTGTTACATTTCAAATAGCAACTCAACTTGCTGACCAAGGTTATGACTTATGGCTTGGCAACGCCCGAGGAAATACATACAGCAGAAAACACGTATCATTAAATCCAAAAAGCAAGGAATACTGGGATTTCAGGTACTTAAAATATAATTTTTCATTCGGATAGTTTAAGCATAGGTAACTAATATCCTTCAACATAATTTTATAACTGACAGATCACCAACGATGAACAGAATATTCAAATTTTGCATGTGTTTACAATTTACATTTTATAACTTACAAGCATAACATTTTATTTTTTATTCATATTTATGAGCCGCTGACGCATAGGTATAAATTACATAAAAATTAAAACAGTAAAAATTATTCAGGACTTCAAAATAATGTTTATAAGTATTAAAATTACCTGAAAAATATCGTAATTGTATAAAAAAAGTTTAGAATACGGTTAAGCAGACTTATACCAATAAATATTCTGTATTTGCTATCAAGGACCATAACGGTCTTAAGTACATAATATACTAAATATTACATAGCTATAATTGCCTAAATTAAAAAAAAAATTGAAATTTTGTTTTAAACCATGTAATTATTATTTTTAACTAAATTATTAAAATATTAGTTTAGATGAAATGGGATTATTCGATTTACCAGCTGTCATTGATCATATACTATTAATTACTAAAAAGGAACAACTGCACTATTTAGGATATTCTATGGGTACAGCAATTTTTTATATAATGTCATCTGAAAAACCAGAATATCAATCTAAGATCAGATCGCAGATTAGTCTTGCGCCAGTAGCTTACTTGTCGAATACCAAGTCTATCCTAAAATATGTCGCTCCGCATGTTCAACAAATCAAAGTGAGTTTATTATTATATTACACACTAAAATATTATTATTAACATTACCATTATATTACTTATTTATTTTATACTTATAACATTAATAGTTCCTAATCAAATATATGTCAAACGGAGCGTTTTTGCCTGAAAGCGAAATGTCAAAGCTTATTGCAGAAACTTTTTGTAGAGCACCATATTTGCAAAAAGAAGTATGTGAAAAATGTTTAATATTTGCAGTATGTGGCACAGATATAAATGAATTCAATACAGTAATAATATTATATTATTTTAATTTTAAACTATACAAAACTATTCACTATTCTACCTACTTCATTATACTTTAATTTGTAATTGTAGGCTTTGATTCCATTGATTTTTGGGCACTTTCCTGCTGGAACGTCAACAAAACTTGTGGAACATTTTGCTCAAATCATATTAAGCGGTAAGATCAATTTTGATATGATACTTAAACGATTATTTACATGGCAATCTATAATTATGTTTAGGAGATTTTAGAAAATTTGATTATGGTCCGACTAATAATTTAAAGATGTATAACTGTACAACGCCACCTTCGTTTAAACTAAATACAATTAATGTTCCAATTACAATGATGTGGGCCGATAATGATATACTGGCTGACAAAATCGTAAGTAATAATTTGTTTGCCAAAGGTTTTTGGATTAATCCTCATATTTCTAACAAGTAGCATTGCAACACTGATTTCACTACAAAGATATTCTGCTGGAATTAAAATTGAATTGTCTTTTTTCTTGCTAAAAAAATTCTGTAACTGAATTGGTTTGTCTTGCTAATCCATAAATCCACTATAAGAAGATAATTTGTTTTAGGATGTTTTTAAACTGAGGGATAAGCTGCCTAATGTGATAGACTGTATAAAAGTTGACAGCCCTTGGTGCAACCACATAGATTATATGTGGAGTAAGAAGGTCAACGTACTTATTAATGATCCTGTAATTGCAATATTCAACAAGACCGACAGTAGCGAATGGAAGAATTCGCGTCCGGAAGTTTCAGAACAGGACGAATACGAAACAAACGATTTCACTGAATCGATTTGCTTATCTCGCAATGGATCAATAGTCTCAGACTCAGGCCATTACAACATCAAGAACGTGCCAAGCTTGGATTTCTTGCTCAGCAATCTCGATACAATTATCGGAAAAGCAATGCCACACATTGAAGGAGTCTCTAAGCGAGCCATAGAATACGAAAAGGAACTACAGAAGATTGCAGTTGGTAATCTGATAAATTTGGAAAAGGCTTCAGAGAAAAAAACCTACGAACTACTGAATACCATGAACACAAATGTTCAGCTGGTCGATAGGGCAGTCAAAGATAGTACCATTAAGTCGCATCATTTTGTCGAGACAAACATCAAAATGGTTAGCACGAATATACACAGAGAAGTCGACAGGGTCGAAAAAACAGTGATAGAGAAATATACAAAAACCGAAGAATTCGTCGGTAGAGGGTTCACAATGGCCAACATTGCTGTGCATACGAAAATCAATGAACTTAACCAAACTATGAGTAACGTGTTCAGAAAATTTAGGACACTCCTCATGATAAAGTGAATACACAATAAGTGCACTAATGTGGAAGAATATTTAGAATAGTAAACATTTTACAGTATAGTAATTAAATACTGTTAGTGTGTGTGAATGTAGTGTCATACCTATATACTATATGAATTTGTAGTTTAAATAAGATATATTATATTATATCATCTAATAATCAGCAAAAATATGACAAACAAAATTTTTAATTAAGATTATTTATTTATTTAGGATATTGTTTTTATAGTACTTTATTCAATGATCTATATTATATTATAATATACATTTTTTTTTTACTTAGCTATATATTTAGTGTTAAAAATAATTAATAGTTGAATATTACTTAGTTTAGAATAATATGAAGAACTAAGGAAAATTGTCCATTTAAACCTACCACTAACATAATTTATCTAGTTATAACAGACTAGTAGATAACATTCAAAATAAACGTTAAATTTTTCACACTATACATTAATAATAAGCATATGTCTCCTAAATAATGTTGGCTTCATTTTTGAAACATATAGTTTTTATGATATCATTTTTTAAAAATAATATTGTTTTAAAGGTAGTAATATTTTAGAAAATTAATAGCCATTACAACATAGAACATGTTTGATGCAACCTATTTTTCTTTATTTTTATGAATACAATTTCAATGTTTTTTTTTCTACTAGTAATCGGGTTTCAATTTTAACTGTTAGTTATGTCAATGGTATTTTAATAACTTTTATGATATTTATGATACTCCAAAACATCTGTTAGTAGAGAGTTCTGACATGATACAAAACATCCCCCCCATAGAGATTCTATAAATTGCAAAATTTATAAAATCACTTAAAAATGTTTACCAATTAGGTTTCAATATATTATTTCATCATAACTTGTGGCTTTTTATTTTTTACAATAAAATAATCAACCCCTACCTAGTATAACTATGTAAAACATAATATTGTACAACTCACAATAAGACATTCATGACACTTTGACAATGACTGATCGTGGAGACAATAAGTTTTCCTGAAGTCAAAATTAAGTGCTTGTTAGATCCCATCAGCTAATGCTCGGTTGAATTAAAACTTAGATGCCAGAAAATGGGCTTAGTTTATTGTAGTGGTCGTGGAACAAATGGGTCGATTTTTTTTATTGACAGCGTAGTTGAAAAAGAAGGTGCTCAGTTGAATCCAAGGATTGTTGCCTTTGATAACCAATTGTACCATTAACTGCACCAATATTGAGAAGAGTTGGTAGAAAGGTAGATTTCAGACGAATGCCAAATATAATGAATTTGAAATGAAAAAAATCATTTTTAATATTTAATTAAAGCTCACAAAAATTCTATGTTTGACGTTATTGAATTTTCTTAAATTCCGCTGTGTCACAAAATAATAAATAATAAATGTACAAAACTAAATACAAAAATGTGTGTACAAATATAAGTCTAATATAAATTAAAAAATTGTAATTTAAATTTGAATTTAATAATACCAGTGTTAATAATATTGATATTACTCTATGTACCCGAGGTAAACTAATAACTGATAACAACTGATTCAACAGAAATAATGTCTGCGCAGAAACCAGAACGCGTTATTATTGTGTACTCCTGTGTCGCAAATGAGAACAATTAATTTTGTTTTCTGCGTAGGAATGGTCTCTCTCGAAGCAGCCGACAGCGTGTGGTCTTTTTGCCAGTGTCCACGCGCAAGCGCATTGTCATCATCCTCGTATCGACGTTTTAATTTGTATACTTATCAAAAATAAATCTACCTCCAAGCACAGCTGAGATAGATAACAATACAACAACATCCAACAATAATTACTGCAGCTTTGTGTCCGTATAATATTTTGTTAGTATTGTTAACAGGTATCTTGCCTCTCGGTAATGACTAAAGTAACTTGTAGTGAGCAACGGGCAATTTTAATTTCAGTAATGATTATTAACTATAAGTTTACATCGTGTGAATAGATTTCTTAGGATACTGACTTTTAAACCTTTTCTTTGATAGCTTCTTCTAACGCACTATTCAAGAGTGTATGCGCAGCTTAGATGTGTGTGAATATAAAAATCCAATTAGGTAAGTCAACTTTAAATAAGTAGACTATTATACTATACTCTATTCAACTTAAGATTGAAACGCTCGTCTGACAAAAAACATTTGTCACCACTTCACATCCCTCCTCACCGAGGCCTCCGCAACACTGCAACTGTGTACAGAGTGAGCTGCAATATTACAATACACAGTAGGCTAGGTGATTATTGTTTCTAAAATTAAACTATTGTAAGGGGAGAGGAATGGAAAAAAAATGATTTTATGATTCTATGAAGGCACCGCTGTGGTGGCAGCGACTATGGCGATTATCAACAGCTATCTATGATGATTGATGACCAATCCCAGAATGTATAGCTATCGACTAGGGGGGTCCAACAGTGTTTGGCAGCTCAGTCTACATGCGTGAGAACAGTTCAATCTCAAGTTGAATATAATTTAAAATTGCACTTTGTTGTGTACAAGTTTTAATATAATTACAAGGTTTGTACTAAAATAGAGTTTGTATGAAACAATATGGTATGTCAACATTCTAAGATCCCTAATTTAATTGTATTTTTACTCATAATATTTAGAAAACAAATTTTTTTTCAGTTTAAATCATAATGGATTTAAAAGAAAACACAAATACTAATTGGTGTCAAAATGATTTTGACAACGATGATATCAATCAACCGGGTCCTTCAGAATCGAAACCAAACACAGATCATTTTCTGGTAAACAAATTTTTTTAGAACATTGAATACATATTTATGATCTGGAAAGCTTAATATAGAATACCGGATGGTCTTGTATAATATGTAGGAGTGTATAGCAAAAAATTCCGCTGTTTGAAATTATGTAGGTCGCACTCAGAGCTGTAAGGCGCTTTGCTCTACTTAAGTAGTATATCTTCATTTGTTAAATTAGTATGTTTTGCTTACCACCATGAAAATTAATAAGTTTTATTTTTTTTCCACGTAAAGCAGTATGAACTAAATTCTACTATCAAAACCGATAAAGAACTAAAGATCATACTTTTTGTAGGACTATAATGGAACATATGTATTTTGTTGTATTAGATTATATATTATATATGAATATTATAAAACTTTGAAAATGAAAACAATTAAACTTACTAGTTTGTCCTATCAAATAAATATACTGTTTATCAAAAAGACAAATGAAATATGTTTTTTTCAAACACTTAATCAATCGATTTTTTAACTGACTAGAATAAGATACTTATTTATTTTTGATTTTATTATATTTTTACATCCTTTAATTAAGGTATAATTATCTGTTTACATACTTACATGACATTTGAGACAAACAATTAATGTACAGAAGATTCTTATTATATCAACTGTCAGTATCTTAAATATCTTACAGTAAACTTCTTATTGTTCCCCTTGAAACTTCTATAACTAAAACTTAATTGTAGCAATTCTATGTAACATTGTAGTAGCATTCTATGGTTTATTCTCAATAGGCCAGTGCCCAAGTGATTACAGTCTTATTTATAAAATTTAATTGGATAACGGTATCTAAATGGTACTTTTAAGAACAAAAATGAAAATATTTTACCCCTTCTATCAAATCTAAAAAATAAACTAAAAAATTATACATTTTTCATCTTAAAATTAGAGTGCGCTAAAGTATAAATTACTTCCAAAATTCTGAAGGACATTCTTTAAATACAGTACTAGCGAAATATAGTGCAATTCTTTAAAAATTATTATTTGTTTATTTGTATGGTTTGTCGTTACATGCAATATATAGTATATAGTAATGATAATGGGATAACATATAATAAAATGTATAATAGATATGAGTAACAGTAGTTAAATATTATTATTAAGCTAACAGATTAAGATATTTGGTATAAACATCGGAGCTTCTTTGTCTGGTGGCCCTGAAAGGGGCCATTTTGAGATTATGTTGAGTTAGGTTGATTTGAGATTGAGTTTAGTTGAATTGAGTTACATGTTACCAGGCCAGGAAATAGTTAGAAACGACAGTTTAGCTGCAAAATTTTGCCCAATAATTTAATAATATAATAATATTTTTGTTTTTATTTTAGATTGATGGTATTAAGTTTAAGAATTTTATTAAAGACACATTTTCTGATGATAATATTGTGTTAACTGATTCGAATGGTCGACCATATGACACACTTACTAACAGTGGCATGCATACAATGAGAGTATTGGGTAATTATTGAATTAATTATTATTTAGTCAAAAATGTTTTATTTTATTTATATTTAATTATTTTTTTAAGATAATCAAGCAAGCACTTTTGAAATTACAAAAAATTCCCCCTCTGTTATATTACCTGAATATAATGACATGGCAGATGTTGAAAACATGGTATCTATTCCCGAACAATATTTTCAAAGTGACTTGTATCATTTAAAATCGGATCACATTCCTCAAGTATCTAACACCCATTCTGTTATGGAAAATTTAACTGATGATAATTCATTAGTACAAATTGATTCCATGTGTATGATTCAAAAACAAAATGATGCATTCACTGGTGATCTGGAAAACAACCAAGAAATGATTTTAAATGCTGATAATAATCGATTTTTGTTTTCCGAAAACGGAAACAACTTTATCGAGGTTACTTTAAAAGACGGACAAGTTATAAACAATGATGAAAATGGATTTTATGTGTTACCGCGAATTACATCAGTTCAAGGTAATCTTGGTAATATTGGCCCAAAAATTGTAACAATTGATGATTTGACCCTATTGACATCGCCAAAAACACATCATAACGTTGAATTATTGGTAAATCATGAAGAGCTCGTCGATGATATAGACACCTGTGATATTGCTGTGGTCGATGAATCTCAAATACCACTTAACAATAGTCAGGAAAAAGATAGAATGGACGAAGAGCCACAAGTTATTTCTATAGACATTCACCACCAAAATAGTTCAGGTAATGCATTTTATACAGGCAATTTTTTTTTTCAAGTTTATACATTAAAAATAAAAAAAGTATTTTTATATATTTAAAGGATTTCAAAGAATGTCTAAAGAAGCTATCGAAAAAATAGCAGAAGAGTTTGTAAGACAACCACAATGTATTGATGAAGATATATGTATCAATTTTGTCAGTCAAATAAAACCTCGGGTTTCTACAACATCGGAATATTGTATGCAACCGTTTAAAATGTCTAATTATTTAACAATATAACTATGTATTTAAAAACGGTAGTTTAGTCACAGGATATAGGCTGTGTGTACTCATCTTCATAGGCGCAACTAGGGAGATGCTTGGGGAACTTAAACACCCACCAGACTCAAAATTAACGCTACCAAAAATTCAAACCCTAATCCTTGATTTGTACGCAGAAAATTTTAATAATGTACATACTTTGTTAAAAATCTTTACTTTAGAATATCTTGGTTTTCAAATAATTTATTTTATAGCTAATGATTTGAAGATAAGATTTATGTTTAGTCAGGTGTACATAATTTTAGCACCCCCTAAAATGTAGGTCTAGTTGCGTCTATGCTCACCTTCCACTTTTTTAAGTATGTCCTGTTTTATAGCAAAATTAGTGTATTTGCAATAGAGTACATCATTTTCATTGGGTACACACATACATAGTAAAGCGGGTGGGTACACATGATAAATACCCTTATGACCACACCACTATAATTGAATAAAATCTCCATGTGCTATCTTTATTTTAGAATAAATGACAAATACAATTTCTTATGGGTTACTTATAGTTAGCAGTTACTTATAGCTAACATATAGTTAGGGTTTCGGGTCCCCTGAAAAATCAGGTTTTAGCACATAAGAAGTTTTTTCATGCCTACGATGGTATGTGTTTACAAAAAATATTTAGAATATTTGACTCGAATAATACTATTTTTGTAATAATAAAATATGGGACTTATAATTTGTGTATTATTTTTTTACTATAAATAGTTACATAATATAATAACATTTATTATTCACACACTATTTACACACACTAATTTTAATGACTTCAAAAATAGCACGTATAGTCTATGTTTTACAATTTATAAATTGTTTTATAACGGATTCTCATTTTATGTATATTATATTATAATATTAATCTAGTTGTTGTTGTTTTATAACATGTGGTAAACATAATTGCTTCATTAACGTTTTATTTTACATGTATAAATACATTTTTTTAAATTATAATTATTACCTACTTCTTTAATATTTCTACATGTTAAAATGTTAATAATTTCATATTTTTGTTTATTTATGAAAACTAGAAATATGAGTTCATTATTGTGTTTATAAATATTTATACCGTTTTAACTTGTTTAGGGTGCGATGAATGTAATAAAGTATATCTGAACGAAATGAAGTGTCCATTGCATTTAGTGAACAGTATAATCGATCCAGCCGTACAAACTAGGGCTAGAGCATCATTACCAGCATCTCATTTAAGAATAACGAAAGTGAAAACTGAGGAAGATGTAAACGGTGAGAATTTAAAATGAACAGTTGGTTATGCAATTGAGTTACCTAAATAAATTTTACTGATATATTTATGTTAATTACTTAGTATTTGGAGTATTTGCTCGTAAGGCCATTCTAAAGCGAACACAGTTTGGGCCGTTGGAGGGAGTAATTATCAAGGAAGAGGAGTGTATCGATGATTCAATGAATGAAGAATTCAAGTATTTAGTGGAAGTTGGAGAGAACCAATTTCGACGAATTGATGTGTCGAGTGAAGGTAAGACTATGAAGAATATTAGTATATTTAGTACATATATTTGTCTTCATTATTATTGTTCAGCTATTAGTTGCCTTATTTAGTCTGTTGTGGTCATTAAGTTTTAAAATTTTAGGTTAAATCATTATACGTCGTACAACATCAGTTTTTTCTGGTACTGTATTAAATAAGGTTTTAAAAGTAAATATGAACAGAAAAATTAGTAAATATATTTTAAATAGTTAATAAAATTTAAGCTATTAGACATATTAACAAAAACCGACAACATATGTTCTGTATAATAATGTTTTTTATAATTTGTTTCTAAAATTTGCAAAAAAATACGTCAACTTTTAGTTTCAGTTTTAGTTTTACATCTAAAATTACGGACGAGTGAGGTCCTCTTAACATACTTAATTTTAAAAATATGTTTGTGTTTTCATATTTTTATAAAATTTAACAAATGTTGATATTTCACCTATAGGCATACTGTTGGAAGAATTTAGTCTGGTGGTTAAAAAGTAATTGTGGGTGAAGACGTAAAAAATAATATCATTAAGTTTAATTAAATCTGAAAACAAAATGTAAATTTTGTTTATTACCCTATGTTCCGCATCATGTTTAAGTATTTATGAATGCCGAAAAAATCAGAGTTAAAGTTTATACTTAAAAGTACAGGAATGAAATTATTAGGTAAGGCGATTTGCGAGGATATGGTTATTTTTAATTAGTACACTAAAAATCGCATTTCGGTTCTAGTGACCAGTTTCAAAGCAAATTTAATTTTTCATTTCTTTGTTAAGCAACATTTTTTCCACTCATTTATTAGGAATCGTGCTATATATTATTTGTAAAACAATGTATAAATAGAATAAATAAATTAACAACAAATAAATTTAAAAAAAAATTATAACAGATAAAGTAATACATAAATAGATACAAAATAATAATAATAATATTGACCGTAAAATTATTGTAAATTTTACAATTTATTTAAATAAATAAACAAATAAATTATAGGTGAATAAAAACCAAGTACCTAGATAAAACAAATTAATCACAATTTTGGGGTTTTTAATTTTCCATAAGTAATAAGCAGGTAACATTTGGTGCTTTGTATAAATTACGTTTCACTAAATAATTTAATTATGTACAATATACCAAAGTAAAGAAATTAGAATCTGACGCTTGCCGCTTAAAATAAAATGCAATTGATTTGACAATGAGTTTTGATGTAATTATCGTTTGTAATATGAAATGCCTGACAAATGAGGATTAGAGTATGGAGAGTGTCCATGGTCATCCACGACGACGTCTTGGCTGTGAACATGTGGACTATGTTTAATGAAGTATTTGTCCTTAGTGTATTTTACAAATGGCACGTGATGTGGCTTGTGGCTGTAATGGTGAAAGTGATCGGACTTGAGGAAAGCGTAGAATAGCAACAGTTTGCCTACAATTGTACTGATTAACGTTAGCACGATTAAGATTTTGATTTTCATCAATATCACCCCCAATACTCCTGCCAACATGGTTCCGGCTGTGGCCAAATAACTCTGGATTCCTCTGGCCTCTGTGAAAAATTAAATAAAAACTGTTACTTGTTAAGTGAAAGTGGTAATTTTTAACAGAAGTTTATTCGTTGATTTTTATTTTTTAAATCCAGGTGTAAATTACTATTAGCTGAACTAAGATATGTATATTTCTTGTAATTTTATATTGATTGTGCTATTACCATTTTCTAACTAGTTTTTGAAAAACCGGACCAATAAAACCTCCATTTTAATGTTATTATTATGTATATTTTGTAATAAAAAAAGGTAGAATGTAAATAAAACATTTGAATTACGTGTTTAATGTACTAAGTAAAAGCAAAATATGTAATAATATTATCATATTCAGCTGTAGTTTTTTAAAGTATTGATGTGTTATTATAAATGCGGGTGACGACAGTAGCACATCGATGCCCAAAAAGGTTGTCTGAATTCTTTAACCATACTATGTACGTTTGAGAAGTCAACATTTATTATCATCAAAAATAATAGTACATTTTATGATTGTTAAAAGTAAACGAAGAATCACATTATGATTATTATGAATTCAATGTAGGAGACAACTTGAGACTAAGTATTAAGATGAGGTAAAATTACTAATTAATTTTCATCTTGACTAAGTGTAATAAAAAACAAAACTGAAATTCTATTTATGACTGTTTTATACTATAATTTTTGGTTCTTTGAAAAATTGATTTTTGTATTTATCTAAATTTACGATACTCGTATTTAACTTTTGCCCCTCGTGGATGCCTCTATTTATATTTCCAAGTATATTATATCGTGCTTTCTTTCGCTAGTGTTTTGAGGTACATCTTCATTTTTTTATTGAACCAACAGAGGCAATACTAGAATACTCTTGTCAATATTATTAAATAGTTTTTAATGTACGAACACATTGTTCCAACAATTTTTGTTTATTAAGATTGAAATCCATTAATTAATTAAAAATCGAGTTAAAACTTTAATTTGAAATGTAAAATTTGTTCAAATTAACTTAAGAATTTGTATATAAATTTAAAAAAAAGTTTCTACGTAAATAAACAACGTAAATATAATTGCTATGGCCGGACAGAATGTTTACTTTTTGTTCAGAAATATTATATAACACTGTTAATTGGAAAAGACCGTTCAGACATGTCGGTTTTGGGATTTGTCTTCGGGAAATGTCATATATTGGGCGGCAGTCGTTTGGGTAATTATTACTCAGGGAAAAATAATTCGGGCGAACGGATTCGGGCTAATGTCCGAGAACGTAGTGACATTAAACGAGGTTTTATCTTGCTGAAGTTTTTTTGTTTTTTATATAATCGTTAAGATTACGTAAAAAAATATATATATTTTTTGCATAATATGCATCGTTGCTGTTTATAAACTTAGGCGACCAATATCCAAAAATATTTTAACAGTTATTTTATACCGTTAAATGTATACTTAAGTACTTTAATGTATATTTAAATACTTTAATGTGTACTTAAGTGTAGTAAAATTCGTGACGTTTAAATTTGTTTGTAAATTTAATTTACATTATTTTCCAGGTTATTTTTACACTTCAGGTGGTTATATATGATAAATCTTATATTGTATCGTGTACGTTAATTATTATTGTGTATTTTATTATTTTTGCTTACAGTATTGTTATATTACCTACCAGCTTATACTCGTATAAGGTTCTTTTCATTTTTTAAGATCAAATATTGATCCTCGTTATTCAATATTTTAACTGTAATGGTTAAACATTTGTGTAACATTTTCTTATCTCTGTTCTAAATTTACATCTACCGAGATTTGGTGATCACTCAACACAATACATAGGTATCAAGTACCAACAATGTATTATGAAAATATGGTATCATTTTGAAAGTCAAAATATCTTAAAATCTTTGTTTGATACAATTATAAGGCTTTACTTGAAAGTAAATAATAAGTAGTTACTATTCGAAAAGTGTAGGGCTGTTATTTATATTCTGGAATGTTCTTATTTATTTGTTTAGCTTCATTGTTCACGAACAGACACTATACTTAATATTTAAGTATTTAACGTCTTAACAATTATGAGAATAATTAGTTGATAATTTATTATAACATTTGTCTGAGGTTTTTTCTTTAATTACTATTTCCTTCTAATAATTAAAACTATAATTAAACTAATGTTGAAATATAGATTGATGTTATTATGGAAGGTGGATATACTTAGGTTAAATTTTTATTTTGTTGTTTTTAATATTTTAACAAATTCATAATTAAAAAAAATTTGGTCATTTTAGACGGAAGTTTTAGCATAATACAAATGTAATATGATTTATATGAATTATTTTTTAATTTTTTGTAGACTCAAATTTGTTATTACCAAAACATAAAGATACTTAAGAACTTAGTATAATATGCTATTTCATTTTTTAGCTTCGTTGCGGAGCTGAGAAGGTATTGTTTTTACAACGATGTGTTTTTATTTTTGTGTCTGGACTTACGATATTTCGTAAACCGCTGAACTGATTTCTTCGTGTAGCAACTCTTTAGATCAGAAATCATACCTGGAAGGTACGTTAATAGGCCAAACCTTTTTAAAAGTCACACCTTCCCCATCAAAATCGAGAAAAACACCCAAAAAGTGTACAAATTTTTCAACTTAAAATTACGATGCTCTATAACTTTTTTAAAAATAGTCGAAAAAGTTCCAAATTTATATGAAAATTTCTTCAAACTTAGTACTATCGGTAAACATTAACGAACCAAAAAAATATCATAAACCCTTTCCCTTTCTTTATTTCACTTTTTCAAGTTTTAGAGATTTAGATCTGAAAATTAGACCGAAGGTCGATCTAAAATGGAACTATAACATATACAATTTTCTCAATAATCTGTAGTCAAATTTTATTTTTATTAAGGAAAAACACCAAAAATAAGGTAAATTTACACTTTGGCCGTAGTCAGTTTCTAGGTTGCTATGTGTGAGTGAATCAACAGTCAACGGGTAATGAAAATATTTTCATTATATCGTTTATTACGATGTATGGGAAACTACGACAGTACATTTTTATAGACAGGCGATCAACCCTTATCGTATCCACCCTGCACAAGACTAAATATTAAATTTTAAGTACATTATTGCTGGTCCCACGATATCTTCTAAACCGCTTTAACTGGTTTGAACATACTATCCACAGATTCGCATTTAAGCGTTTATTTAAAAGTGATTTTATCACTTTCAGTTATAATAAAATCTGTAGACCTGTGACCTCTCCGTCCCCACTATGCCCCGACCCCACTGTACTGGCTTTTTTTTAAGCTTAAGGTTGTATTAAAGCAAAACCAAGTACACTACCTAACCAGGATGCACTAATATTATTTTTTTAAAGATGGTTATTTCCCCCTAATAATCCCAGATAATCGAGAGAACTGTGTTTTTTTTACAGTCGACGGGGGTCGATAAAACAAAATAAAAATCACAATATATAGGTTTTGTACTTACGCAATTGGTGTTTGGCACAAAATGTCGGCGAATAAGAGCACACGGCCGGCGTCAGGTATTTGTCTATGATCCCTGTAGCCACGGCTGTCATCCTTTCGGCCGCGTCGCCAGGCTTGTCGTTTGTCCCCTGAGTCGCGGCGACCACACCGATCAACACTATTGTGGCCAACGTCTGAACGGTACGAATTGGAAACGCTGTTTTTTTCATTTTTTATATTTTTATTGTTCGTTATGCAAACGACCAGTATGCGAGCACTTTAATTTAGCACGGAAGTTTGTGATTCATTTACCGCGACGTACAATTGCGAGCGCGACTGCGTTCAAATTCGAAATGAAGTGTCGTCCGCAAGTAGCCGGAGTGTTGGAGCCCCTCGTGTGTGTATTTTGCCGCTAATTTTCGATTTCGATAAACAGGAAGAACTGGTTTGCGCCAACAACGGCGGTGGTGCGTTTCCTTCGGCGATGCCGCCTCCAAGTTCCAGGCCAATCTGGGTCAGCGTCTCCGGTAACCCTGCTCCTCCCCCCTTGCCTGAGCTTCGCCGCTCTTATTGTGTTACCAACGCGCACATCTACACATGTGGACACATACCGGACGTGTTATGTCTAAATCAAGTTTCCCTCTTAGTCGATGCTTTTTTTTTTTGCACCTTATTAGAAACGTTTCCGTCTGGTTTTTGCGCGCTTTTCACCGCACGACCTTGCAAAAGGGTCGACGAGAGGGATCCTGTTTTTTATTTTTATTTTGTTGTTGTTCATAAGTTTGCATTCGGTTAACGCTTACGATTATTAGATTAAATACCGCCGACGTGGACGTCCGAGTCGGTCTTGAACACTTTCCAGTTGTGAACAATAGTTTATTTTTTAATTAGTCGTTAGTAGTAATCTTACCATATGCATTATAGACGGGTATTACCAGTTGATGATTTTACTGATCTTACGTTCGCACGTGCTTTCCATCACCTCGTTAAATTTCTCGATAGTGTCATTATTTATCGGTACTTTGATGATTTACCAAGATTTATTTGTCTATTGCTATGCGGTTAATTTTATAATCGGGTAACATAATATGCAACGATGTCTTGTCATTGACGGAATTTAATAATTTAGTATAGAATCATTGACAAATTATACAATTAACGTTTTACCGTGCAGTGACTTAAGTGTATACTTCTCAATAAATAAATGTCATTCAATTTTATATAACACTATTATAAAATATATTATTAATATTAACAGAAGATTGTATAATCCTATAAAAATGATCTTCTACTAATATGTATAAAATTATAATATTAATATATTGATGGCATAGTGCACATATTTTTACAGTAAGATAACTTAGAAGTTTATTAAATACATGTAATAGTATGACATTACTAATTTGAAAACACCGTTCCCGTAAAATGTTAAAACTGCCTTCTATGGTTATTTTCTTATAAGCGCATTAAATATAACAATAATGAGCACAAACTTTATTTATTTATAGCCCCTACTAATTGTGTTATCGAATTAAAATGTTTTTAAATGTAGTGTGATCAGTCTAATCACTTATTAGTTTTGAGTAATCTTAATAACAAATGTGTTATTCAAACGTTTTAAGTTACAGCCTCAGTTAAACCTTTCGGTCAATTACTTATTAAACATTTCGAAATGGATATTTACTTTGTTATTTTACATACTTTTATTAAAATTAATCTTTTTGCAATTTGTATTTGGAGAATTTAACAAAAAGGAAATAAATAAATAATATAAAATGTTTTGCCTTACATTTTAGAAGACATGTTACCTAGTATCTTTATAAAAGTGACTATTTAACTATGTATTTGTATTTCACTGACATGTTATGCGCACAAAAAAGCCGACGCCAGGTTCTCTTGGAATTAATGTTTACTTTTACTTGTTAGGCTAGCATGTTCGTACCTAAGACTAAACCCATTCTATCGTAAACTTTAAATCTGAGATTTATCTATAGCTTACATCACTTTTATTATTCGGTGTCGACAGTAATTTTTAAAATACAATTTAGAAAAAAACTAGAGTGTTTCATTGAAAATAAATAAATATCATGTTTTCTTTTTAAGAACTGTTAGACACACTAATATTTCAAACTGACAATGAGTGTATACAAATTGTTGGTATAAGAGAATACAATGACCATACTTTTTTCTTGTATAAAAATATATATTTATCTTGCTGAATGCAAACACCGTACTTTTCACTATAAATTCGAGTTGTTTATTATTATTCATTATTCATTTACTAAGTAAAATAGTAATTTATACTGCTTAAAATATGTAGTATAGTAATTAGTGATGGGAATTCGAAAATCAGGATGTTTCCAAAAATCGCTATTTTAACCGTTAAGAAATCGTATAAAACCTAAATAATAATATATTATAAAACTGAGTATCTAATTAAAGTGTTTATAATGAAAACTAAAAAATAGGTTATCCTTGACACTAAATTGCTTTAAGATTTTCGGATTTCCAAAAATCCAAAACCCATTAATTTTTTTGTTTTTTAGAAATATTTTCATTAAAATATTGCTGATTGCCAAAATTTGTTTGTAAAAGTCCGGATATTTAAATCACTATTAGCAATGTAATGTATGTTTAATAATCCAGTCTTTAAAATAATTGAATTGGTTATAGAAACCTTGTATATTAAGTTGGTTGGTAATCAGATTAGTTTAACGGTGTAACATTTCAAGTTAATCCACATTTTATCTTTTAATAACTTATTAACAATTCATATAGTATTTTTTAATTTATTAATAATTAAATTTTAGGTATTCTAGTGTGAATTTTACTTATTAAAAAAATACTTTGTTAAGCGATTTTTATTTTATATATGTGTTTTATAATATTGGTGATATTCTTTATAACTTTCCTTTTTATAATGAATGATACTTGATTACAAAATAAAAGTAAATTAAAACAAATCAAAATATTTAAAAACTTTAGTGGTCTGTTTAATTTAACTTTCTAGAATTTAATAAAATTATCTTATTTTATTGATTATTTCGTACTCACGTCTTGTGATCAACTAATAAATATTTACATTTACAGTTATTTATAAGTAAAATTTAGTAAGCAAAATTCGCTAATAACGATTATTTAATTACGATAGTATATAGAGTTTCTATTTTTTTTAAGTACACTGTTTATTATTATTAGTATTAACTTTAAAAAAATGTATACGATAGGATTTTAAAAATTGAGTAGACATTAATTTTAAATATAACCTCATATATTGCCGCTTAATTTTATTACGATAATATTTAGAGTTTCTATTTTTTTTTTAAGTGCACTGTATATTATTATTAGTATTAACTTTAAAAAATGTACACGTTAGGATTTTTGAAATTGAGTAGACATTAATTTTAAATATAACCTCATATATTGCCGCTTAATTTTATTTTAGCTGTAAATACTACATTTCATCGTTTAATAATGATACTATATAAATATTAGCCATAACGCCGAAATACGAATGAACTTTGAAGAGACTCCCCGTCGTTTTTTTTTGAAAATTATAATGCATTACGACAAAAAGAATTTTCTCAAATTTTTTTCGATTATTTTGGCCATGGTCGTAAAAAGTATTTCGGGTTTTTTCTTGACACCTCTTTTTATCGGTTTTTTATAGTACTTTCGTTCATTAATCAAAATGATTAAAAATCAGTTTTTATGTAAAATAAATAATCTCAGCTTACTAAAAAAAAATTTTTTTTTTGCCTAACAGAAAAACATTAAAATTTAATTTATAGTCTAAAATGTTGTTTTTTTGTGTTGCCAAAAACTTGAGAATTTTCTAATATTTTTTTTAGAACACTGAGAATATTTTACATAAAGTAGGTATGTAAATTTCAAATTGGAATCTCCATAAAAACGTTTAGAAAAAAAAAATTAAAAAAAAAGAGGTAAAAATTCATTAAAAAAAGACGAAAAACAGAGGAAAACGATCACAGTATTCAAAATAGTTAATTATTTGTAAAAAAAAGACAATTTCCCATTTTTTCAAATTTTTTATGCATTTTTACTTTATTTTTGATTGTCTAAAGGTTTTTATGAAGGTCCCAATTTGGTTTTCTTATGTTATTTCAACTTGATTAGATGAAGCTATTTCCAAAACATGTTTCCTAAATTGTTTAAATATGTTTTTATATATTTTTTTAAAACTTCTATTTTATGGTGATATTTTGCATAACACGCATATTATAAACCGATTTTATAAATTAGCCTACTTCATTTTATGTTAAAACGTATATTTACAGTGTAAAGTATAAAAAAAAGTTTTTTATTACAAGACAGTATAATATAATTTATTTGTTAAATAAATAAAAGTAATTATTCAAATTAATGTCATACTGTTTTTATATAATGGCAATCTTCTAAACCTAGAACCTAGAACTGAGGAATTACAAAAATATATATTATGTTCAGTGGTCAATATTAAAACTTAAACCAGATTTAAATTTTATAAAAAATGTATTGGTCATTTAGAGCACGATGGTCGACTTTCGTGATTTTTTTTTTTGTGATGAACATTGCCATTATTATAACATATCTAAAGAAACAGGTTTTGGAAGGGCCTACAATCCGATTTCTATAATATACTTTCAGAATACGTTGATAAGTATTAAGTAAATACTATTGGAATTTATAGATCACCACACTAGATTTACCTTCAGTTAAATTTCAGAGATGAAGTCCATAAACTACGTCTTAAAAATTGAAATAAAGAAAATGTATCCTCCCCTTTTAGGGGAAAGGATTAATAAAATATTTTCTTGGTTTTTTACCGTATATCGGTAGGAAAATTATGTACCTCAAAATTCTAACAATCCTTGTTTTAAGTAATAGTTATAAAAATAATTAAAATATATAATTATAGTATAGTATGTTTTAATTTATTTTATAATTAATAATTATGTTATTATTATTTATTTTTTTATCATCTGTTTTACATTGACCAATATAAACCATCCTACTTTGACTTCAGTTTTCGACAATATACATTGGTCGGATGAGTAAATATTGTCCAAAAATCTAGTACCTTTTGTTAAAATTCGTCTGTTATTAAGCCGGGTTCACACGACTCGCCTATTCGCCGAATGTATAGCGAATACCGAATATTCGCTTATTCGTGCAAGTAGACGAATATACCATTTCCACGACTCGTCTATTTGCCGAATGTATTGAGTACATTTGGTATCCCTTTGACTCGTGTCGCATTTACCGACAATCCACGGGAAGAGGACGAATACCGAATACCGAATACACGAATCCACCGTTCCCACGACATGGCGAATATACACGAATACCGAATATTCGGCAAATAGAC